TTTTAAATAAATATACATATTTTTCTTTTTTTTTTTTTTTTTCGGTTTGAATGCAAATTTCCAATACTTTACATTTTCTTTTATTTTTTCTTATTCATCTTTTTTCTTTTTTTTTTTGTTTGGAAATATCTTTTTATTTCTTTTTATTGTTATTATTATTATTATTAGTATTTTTTTTCCCACTGAATTCCAACTCTATCCCACTTCCCTCTCCCTAGTTTTTTTTTTTTTTTTGTAAAATACTTCTAGAAAAAATAATATTTTTTATGTTTTACATTAAATATGTATCAATTTTTTATTTTTATTTTTGTTGGCAAAAATGTTTTTTTTTTTTTTACACTTTTTTTTATTCTTTTTCTTTTTTCCCCCCTTCATCTTCATATCTTCTGCTTTATTTTCTTTTTTTCATTCGAGAATTATTGAATTTGTTAAATTTTTACGGTAGCCGAAATGTAATACATTTTTCTTTTTACTCACCTTTTCCCATCTCCCCCTTCCTTTCTCATCTTTCATTCCCCCACCTTTTTTACATTTTTTTTCTCTCTTTTACTATTATTATTATTATTATCATCGAGATTATACAGTTTACGTTTCGTACTCGTAAGAAAAATAATGATAATAAAAAAAAAAGTTTTGAGAAAAATGAAAAAAACAAATTTATAATTTTTATTATTATTATTATTATTATTATTATTATTATTATTATTATTATTTGGTTTTCGTATGAAATTCATCATCATTATTAAACTTTTTTTCATCTTTTCACTGATTTTAATTAATGGGAAAAAATATAAATAAATAAATAAACGAGAAAAAATAATTTAACGCGAAAGAGAATCCGTTATTAATAGCTTAATAATCGAAAGGTCATCGCACTCGGAGGTAAATTCCCAAAGGAGAAATCCCTCCGGCGGGGGGAGGGAGATTCCTCTTCCCAGAGGAATTCCTTCCTTCCCCTCATAGAAGAGGGATTTCCAAGCAAATAATAGGAGCAAGGGGAAATGATGATGATAATAATACGTAGAATTCGCTCGAGTCCTCATTTGCTTTTACCACCCCCCCTAAATGGGAATAACATAATCCTAATTATTATTATTATTATCTTTTTTTCGTTTATTCATTGAAATTTTTTATTTTATTTATTAATAATTTTTTAATAAATTTATTTATTTATTTAAATAATTTAAGTGAACCGTAAAAATTTTTTTTTTATTTTTCTCAAATTTTCACGCTCGGGAAAAATTTTACATGGAAAAACGCGAATTTTTTTAAATTTTCAAGTTTTGAATATAAGTTGTCACAAACAAGGTCATTAACCTAACACACGTGATAGTGATAATAATAATAATAATAAAAGAAAAAAAAGTAATTAATTAAATTAATTCACTCTTTTTTAACGTGGCACCATAATCAATTTAAACTATTCGAGACGGTTTTAAAATTCTCACTTCCTTTCCATCATTATCATCATCATCATCATCATCATCATCATCATTATTATTATTATTATAAATATGTATATATATAAATATTTTTTAAAAATATAATCTTTTGCACATTTTACGGAGATTTTAAATTTTTTTTTATTTTAACTTTTTCTACTAATCCACCGACTTAAATGTTTAAAAAAAAAAAATAATAATAATATTTTTTCAATTTAAGTTTACTGACAAAAACAAAGAACAACAGACAAACAAAAAACGAAAGCAGAAGACGAAAAAAAAAAAAAATGTCATACGCAGTGAAAAAAAATAAAAAATAAAAAATTTTTTGAGTCTTTTGTATTTAAAAAAATATTCGCAATTATAATATTATTTATGTTTACTTTTTTTTTTTTTTTATAAAAACGATTATGTTTTGTTTAAAAAAAAATGTCGTTACATAAATCAACGGTTTTTTTTTTTTGACGCGGGATAGAAAATAAAAGAAGAGAGACAGAGAGAAAGAGAGAGAGAGAGAAAGGTGAAGAGGTCAGGTGTATGATGAAAAAAATTATTTATATATGTATATGAGATGAGAAAAATTAATTTCAGATTAAAATTAAATCGATTTGAATTTCGCGCCAATTTTTTCCCACAAAAAAAATTTAAATTTTTTTTTTTTCGTACGTCATGACGTCATTTATTAACAAAACAAAAAATAAGCAGAAGATAAGAAACTAGAAAATTTCTTTCTTTTTTTTTTTTTTTAATCTTATTTATTTTATGTCTTATAAATTTTTTTTTTTTTCTGTTAACTTCCGGTTTTAATTTGTTCGGTTAGGAATCGTTACCGTCGAGCACCTGTTGCCCTCCGGTATTTGCGGTAAATTTGGTTTTTAGTTAAAATCATTAAACGATTATAATTAAAATCTTTTCTTTATCCAAGATTTTAGTTTATTAGAAAAAAAATACAAAATTTTCTTCTGCTAGAACTCCAAAAAAAAAAAAAAAGAAAACCCAAGAAAAAAAGAGAGAGAGAAAGATGTAAAGAAATATGGAGAGAAACGAGAAGGTTAATAAATTCTTTAAAAAAAAAACTTTTTTTTCCTTTTTTTTTTTCGTGCGTATAAAAAATAAAAAGATTGATTACAAACCATAAATTAAAAGAATGAAAAAAAAAATAATAATAATAATTTTTTTTTTTATGTTTAATTATGTTGGATGCACTGCTTCAATAAAAAGGAAAAAAAAATTCATCCGACGACATCATTATCATCAGTAAGTAAATTTTATTCCTTTTTTTTTTTTTTAAGTAAATCTAAAATTTTTTTATTTACGATACGAAAAATCTTTTCTATTCCCACGACAAAATACGGGTAAATACGTAAAAGCAGAAGACGTTAGTTAATAACAATAATAATAAATAAAAGGTGTGAAATTATCAGAGGATACCAACACCAACGTAGAATTATTTAAAAATTTATCGATTATTAATTAATTAATAAATAATAATAATAATAATAATAATAATAATAATAATAATAATAATAATAATAATAATATTGTTTTATTATAGTTTATGCTTCTTTAAAGAAATAAAAAGTTAAAATTAAATTTAAGTTTTTTATTTATTTTTTTATTTATTCAGAAGCAGGATAAATAAAAAAAAAAAAAACAGAAAAAAAGAAAAAGATAAAATTAAATTTAAAGTTTTCTAATAACAATAAATCCGATGCGCGTATTTTCCGTGAAGAGCTTATAAGAACCCAAACTTGTTGTAATTCATGCGACTTATATACACGTATAAACTTAATATAATTTTCAACCGTCAAAATATTTTTATTTAATAAAGTTGGCAACACTGATTTTAAAAAAAAATTTTTTTTCTTTTCTTTTCTTTCATTTCATTTTTTTTTTTCGAAAGCGGGGGGAGGGGCGAGGGACGGGATATAAAACGTCGATGTCATTTAAACGTGGAATTTATTAATAATAATAATAATAATATTGATAATGATAAGATATTGAAAAAAAATTCAAACCGGAAATGATGACTCATCGACTAACTACGTAAACTTTTGATTTTGGTGGTGACGTCATTTGTTTTTAAAATTTTTTAATTTTTATTATTTTGTCCATTCGTTTTGTTTGTTTTAAATGATTTAGTAGTTCGTTGATAATAATGATAATGATAATGATAATAATAATAAATTATTTACTTACTGCTTTATCTCCTAATTGTTCTACGCGACAGTGTAAAAATGCCGTTTGTCCAACAGCGGTTGTCACGTTTCTTGGCACGTTAAAATCAAAATATGGAAAAATGCTGATGTTGTTGGCGGCGGCCATGTTGATTCCATCGTCGTGAAATTGTGAAAAACCTGAAGAGAAAAAAAAAATAATAATAATAATAATTATCATTATTATTTTTGTTCAAATCGATATTCATCGCTCGATGATGACGTCAAAGTCTAAATAATAATAATTACGTCATTTATTTCCACCCGCGTACATAAAAAAAAAAAAAAGGAAAAAAAAGAATCGAAAAAACTTTTTTTTTGCTTCGTTTGTTTGTTTGTTGTTGTTTGTTTATTTTTTTTTTTTTGGCGTGCGGTAATAATTTCCGGTGAAAAACAAAACAAAAAAGAAAAAAAAGCGAAACCGGAAACGTAAATGCGTATAAACCGCTCGGATTATTAATTTAACTCTAATAAATAATTATTAATGGAAAAAAAAAGTTGTTGTTGTTTGTTGTTGTTTCTACTGTTGTTTGTACTGTTGTTTCAAATAAAAAAAAAGGTTTAAACGCGTTTTAACTAATTACGAATTATAAAAAGAAAAAAATTTTTAAACCTTTTCGCGAATCAAAATTTAAAAAAAAAACCTTTTCAATACCTCAGTTTTTTTTATTTTTTAATGAGGTTTATTTATATGCGTGTAGAATAATAGTTTTATTATTATTATTATTATTATCAAAATGAAAACAATTACGTTATTATTATTATCATTTGATTTACTTAACAAACAACAATCACGAATTTTTTTTCCGTCGGGTTTTAGGTTAGAAATAAGATTTTAATTTTATTTTTAAAAAAAAAAAATTTCGCGTTAAAAATTTAAAAATTAGGCCGTAAATTTTTAAAATGGTGTTGAGGGGAGGGGAAACGAGGGGAGAGTAGGAGAGAATAAAGAGCGGAAGTAAAATTTTCGACGGTAAATGTTTATACGAAATTGCGAAAAAAAAAAAGTTCTACTTCCTGTACATACATATGTGTGTGTGTTCGTTGAGTTCTCTCTCTCTCTCTCTCTCTCTCTCTCTCTCAGTAAAAGAAAAACATTTCGTAAATATCTTTATTAGTTTATTTCATTTTTATATGAGGTATAAAAAGAGAGAAAGAGAGAGAGAGAGAGAGATGTAAAAAAAAATTTTTTTTTGAAAATTTTCTAAGGATGTGAATTGATGTGAATAGTCGGTCATTAGTCAAGGCGAGTTTTTTTTTTTTTTTGTTAATAAAAGTTATAAAAACTTTTTTTTTCATTCCAAATATTTTACGGAAACGGAAAAGGATAAGTTTATGTGAAAAAAAAAATATATAAAACACTTGATGAAGTTATCAAAAAGAAAATAATAATAATAATAATAATTTTAGAAGAGGGGAAAGAGGAGGAAAAAAAGTAAAACGACCGCATGTCAATGAAAAGGAGCATTAATCAAAATTTTTGGAAAGAAATCGTACTGTCGGGAGAATAGATGATGGTGGTGGTGGTGGTGGGAAAGGAGGGGATAGCGGAGGAGGAAAGGAAGGGGTAATAATAAAGAAAATCATTCGAACCTAAAATCAAAACCTTTCGAACATAAATCACACGAGAAATTTTATTTTAATAAAGAATCTTGTCTAAAGGAATAAGAAAAAGGTTTCTTACGGGTGACCTGTTATATCAACCTTTTTCTTATATATTTTATAGTAATAAAGAGAAAGAAACCTTTTTTTTTTATCATCTTCGTTCCCCGCCACCGCCACCACTACCCCTACCATCCCCGTCATTCACCCCCAATGTATCTCATCTGTAATTTAAAAAAAAAAAAAAAATTTTTTTTTTCACTTTTCACTTTTCACATTGTCCAGATAATAAAATAAAAAAAAAAAAAAAAAAAAAAAACTTTACGCTCGCAAACGTGTTATCATTTTTATCAATGCGAGATTGATTTTACGTCATTATCGTGTTCAAAATGGCGGCGGTACGGCGTCGGTGTCGTTGTTGTCGTTTATCGCAAACGTATTAAAAATTCATTTTATGGGGAGAGAGAGAAAAAAATATTTTTTTCCATACCTTTTCATATCGCCCCCCCCTTTTTTTTTTTTCGATTTTTCTCGCACCTTTTCCTGTCGTCCCCCCTTTCGCACCCACCTTTCTTCCGTTTCATTCGTTTTAAATTTTAAATGAAAATAATGATGATAATGAATGAATGAATGAATGAATGAAATGAAAAAAAAAATTTTTTTATTTTTTCCTTTTTTATCTAAACTTTTTCTCTCTGACGTAACAAAAAAAAGGTTCGAACGATGTTTTTTTTCCTTTTTTTTCATTCCATTGAGAATTTTTCTTTTTTTTTTTTTTTACCTTAAGAGGATTAAAAATGATTATTATTATTATTAATTGACAAAGTTAATTTTTAATTTATTTAATTCTTTTTTTTTTTTACAAGCCTTAAAAGGTTATATGATCTCAAAACATAAAGAAAATTATATCGATTCTGAAATTCCAACCAATCTTGCTGGATAAAAAATTTTTATTTACAAAAAAAGTAATTAAAATTTAAAAATTCTGGAATTTTTTTTTTTATTTTTCGTTCCAGAGTAAAGTAAGAAAATTTGTCTGGATGTATAAATTTTCACTGATAACAACGTTTTTTGGAGATTAATTCATCAAAGTTATCGAATCCGAAATTTTTCCAACGTCTACGTTATTTACCGATCAACCGTCACTGACATCACAGGTGATGGATTGTTTCCGGTATAAAAAATACTTTTCTCTTATATAAAATCAAATCCTTCATTATTATCATTATCATTATCATCATTATCATCATTATTCTCATTTGAAATTTATTTCGTTGTGGGAAAAACTCGAAAATTTTTAAAGTTAATAATTCTTTTTTAAAATCGTTACGCCCGCGTTTTTTTTAACTTTTACATCATTCCGCCATATTTTTTTTTCTTAAAATTGTTTGTTTCTTACTTCCGGAAGAAAAAAAAAAAATTTTTTTTTACCGGATGAAGAATAAAAAAAAAAAATAATTAAAAAAAATAAACCTTTTGAAAAATTTAATTAAAATAAGGTTATTATCATCATCATCTATTTTTCTTTTATACCTCCTCCTCCTCCTTCTCTTCCCCCACTTTTTACTTATTTTTCTTCCTTCCTTCCTTCCTTCTTTTCCCTCCTCCCATCAATATTTCTTTCATTTTTATTTTCTAAAACCATTTTTTTTCCCCCTCCCAGAAAAGGAAAAACCTTATTCTTACACAATATAAAATAATTTATTTATACGAAAAATTATTATTATTATTATTATTATTATAATCATCGGGTAAAAATTGAATTGAATGTGTAATAAGGATTTTCTTTTCTTTCTAACGAAGAATCTTTTTCCCAAAATATTATATTTTACCTTTCATAACTTTTATAAATACCTTAAAATTTCATTCAAAACTTTATCATCCAATTTACTTTTACTATTCATTCGATATTATTAATATTATTAAAGTTTAAATTTATTTTATTTTTTTGTTGAAAAAAAAAAAAACGGAAACGCGTTAGAAAGAAAAAAAATATTACTTTCGTTTGTTCTTTTCACAAAACCCCCCCCCGAATAATAATAAAATTTTGAGTTTTTAAAAAAAAATGTCCGGTGCAGTTTAGTATTTATTTAAAAATATGGAAAATATCATCGTCGAAAGCAAAAAAAAGTCGTGGGATTAGATTATTATTATTATTATTATTATTATTATTATTAAAAATCGAAATTTTTTGATATCAGTTAAATGTAAATTAATTAACGCCTAAAAAATTTTTATTTTTAGTTTTGCTTTGTTCGTACGCGTGGGTTTAAATTTATTTCT